CGTTGGTCTCTCTTGTAAAAAGAACAAATCTCTTTATATAAGCCTCTAATTTGTCCCGTCAGTGATTCATGTAGTTTTTACGGGCAGCACCAAAGCAAATGGAGGCCCAAACTTGTCCATGGCTCGCTCTAGGGGCCTCTTTGGTCACAGAGGAATACAGGGAAATACCCCCCCCCCCCCCCCCCCCACCCCCCCCCCCACACACACACACACACACACACACATCACACAATCCTGACGCTGCCCATTTTCACCGCTTTCAGCACTTTTTCCTGCTGTGCACACAAAACCTAGCACCTCTGTCTTTTTTTTCTTTTTTTTTCACCCCTCCAGCCTTTTCTCTTTTACACCTTGAACACCACACATGAACACACACCCCTTGCCTGTCTTTATCTCCCTTGTCTATTCTTTGATGGTGTGTTCATCAAATAAAGCAGTTTTGGGGAGGGTGGATTGGGCTCTGAAAAGAGTGAGTTGGGAGGGGGCTTGAAGGGTGTGCTGTTTTTGCTGTGATGGCCCATCCTCCTGGACAAAGAAGGCTGCTGTTGTGCACGCTATAGATGAGAGATGGTGGGAGACGGACGCTGGAGAAGTGCTGGGTTGTTTTATTTATTTATTTTTTCTCTTTTACAATAGATATGGGGTTTATAGACTGGATTACCTGTATCTCCCAACTGATTGTCTGGTTCTGACCAATTTCCCAGGAAGCCATGATGGAAATGTCAAAGGCCCTGATTTTGTTTGGTCTCTTTGTGTGTGTGTGTGTGTGTGTGTGTGTGTGTGTGTGTGTGTGTGTGTGTGTGTGTGTGTGTGTGTGTGTGTGTGTGTGTGTGTGTGTGTATACTGTGTTGGTGAGGACCAAAAACGTCCCTTATGGGGACAAAATGCTATTTTTAAAACTCAAAATGTGGTTTTAGCATCAGGGTTACAATTAGGTTGTGGTTGGCTTTAGGCTAAGGGTTATGGTTAGGCCTTCATTTTTGATGGTAAGGGTTAAGGTAAGCGGCTAGGGAAAGCATTATGTCAATTAGATGTCCTCATTTAGATATAAAAACGTGTGTGTGTGTGTGCGTGCACGCGCGCGCGCAAGAGAGAGAGAGACATTTGATTTGGACAAAGGGGACAGGCCAGCGCAGCCATTCATGTTGTCATTGCCACTGAAAACAACACTCCCTTCCTTTCTCTGTCATACTCTGAGCTTTCAACCCTCTTCTCTCTTTTAACATGGTTCCCTGCTCCCTCCCACATATGTTGGGAGGGAGCAGCACACACAGTGGATTTAGCTACAGGTCTCCTCTTCAGTGCGTTATAAATCTTTCGGCTATAATATTCAGGAAACCTTTGAAACAACCAGCAAATTACCTGCTGTAAAAACTGACTAGCACCCTAGCGCAGTGGCTTACCTTACCCCACAGCTCCAGAACAACTATTTTTATTCAGTGAGTCGAGCAGAAAACCCTAATTAAAGCTTTTATGTCACTATATATTATTGGAAGCCATAAACATAGGCAGACACGAGCAGCTGGGGGTTTGGTATGTGTGTATGGGGCAAGGTATTCAGTTTACGATTTAAGACTTACTGTTAGATTAAAGTAATGCAATACTCGTTCTTCAGATGAACACGTAACATAACAAAACTATCTCGCCCTGCTGGCAGAGGTTTTCACGTATTTTTCAAATTTGGGATTTAAGAGCGAACGTGCCTGCTGTGTGCCTGGAACCAATTTTAGGGGTGATCTGGACCTTTTGACACAGCTACCACTAAATTGAGTCTGAAGTGTTTATAAATTCCCTTAAAGCTTTTCTATGCGGCTTTTGTTCTTGACTTATTGCCACGTTTTATTGTGTGTCCCATTTCCAAAAATCCACGTTCACAGTCTCCAGAGATCTAATAGGAAAACTTGGCATGTTTGATTGCTGCCATTGATGATATTAATAGCAGTGTGTGTGTGTGTGTGTGTGTGTGTGTGTGTATAGGAAGCAGGAGCAACAGAGGAGCCCTTTTCAATGAATATTCTTGCAGTAATTAAACCTTTCTTGCCAGAAGGATATCTGAAGTTTGAAGGAGCATCCAAAATAACAGCCTTTAGTTCTCACATGTTGAGCAAGACTGCCAGCATGATGATCAAACAGCTCAGCAGCAGCAATCCAGGCAGTCAGGGAGGTAGGGAATTAAAGCTCTGATCTGATTTTTAATCACTGCTCTCCGTGTCTCTGCTTCTCTACATCTGACACCAGACAACTGTGCAACTCTTAAAATCTGTCATCCGAGAGTAAAATGGAAATTCCCTAAATATTTCCCCAAAATAATGGCCCTGGTGAAGCACACAGGAAAGCCAAGACATATAATTCAGTGTCCTCTTGAAATGGCATTTACAGACATTTCTCCTTGTAACTTTATGAAGTGCCACATGAATAGGTGTTAACACAGTGAGCAACGCTGTTGTAGGTAGTCGCTCGAAGTGGAAATGTTATTTACTTGCCCATGATGAGTTTTGTTCTGCTCTCATGTGATTGGTTACAGTTTGACCTTTTATGGTGTTACAGGAACTTGTAAGTGTGTAGAAATGTTTGAAAATTGATGAACAAAGAAAGCTTTTTCAAACTTTTTCCACGCCTAATTGAATGTGCTTACAGTAGACGGTAAAAAAAAAAAAAGATGTTTGATGGTTTGGGACTTGGTGGGAAAATAAGAATTAACTACCATTTTGCCATCCAACAGCTACCACAGAGTATTTAAATGCAACCACTGTGGTAGCATGGCATCATGTGGCTTTATAAGTGCTAATCATTTAAATACTTCCATTTTTCTCCGCAAGTCATTGTTCTGATTGTTATGCACCGTCTGCATACTGTTACAGCACATACTGTACGTTCACTGTGGGCCCAGTGATGCACTCGAATCCTTGGCTGAAAACCCTCCAAACACAGCCATTCCCCACATCGCCCCTCTCCTTTCTTTGTTTCTGTCCTTACGCCCCCACCCCGACTACCTCTTTATGCCTTTTCCTTTGGTGTTGCTCCTCAGAGCGCCTCGCTCTCATAGACCTCACTGCGCCGCTGAAGTTCGATCGCAATTCCCCGCATAGCTGTTGCCCGGGCCTCATTCACAGACCCCGTTGACTGGCAGGGTGAATGTCCAGGCCTCATGTTTCACGCTGTACCCCGAAACATTTTTCAGCCATCAATCACGGTGGTAGAAAAACATGTCAAAGCTAATACTGAGTGAGGAGATGTTTAAGATTGTCTCCGTTTTATTCAGGAATAACTTTCTGCCATTCTGGCGTTTGTGCTATTCAGTAACAAAACACTGTTTTTTGTTTGTTTGTACTTTTTGTCTTTAAGGCGTAACTTTTTCAGTGAATGAAAGAAATGATTTCTTCTGTTTCTTGTTAGTTTTAATGAAACTAGCTTTCACGGTAAACTGTATTAATGAAGCTTCTTTTAAAGTGCCCCCTCGTAAAGTAGTAGCGCATGTTTTACTCTACTGTCTGTAGGTGATACGGCTAAACTATTATGATTTGTTGAACTACAGAGAATTGTTCTTCATGGTGGTCGAAGGTGATGGCTCTGAGAAATGTATGTTGAGTTCCAAAAGGGAAAAAGGCCATTAATCTGTGGCCTGTATGGTCTATGAGTACACTGGTGTCTGCATAATCTAAACATTGGGATTGGATCCGGACTAATTCTGCCTTGTGAAATGACCTCCTTTAAATGGGAGTTGCAGCTGCTGATATTTCCACATTCCAGATGCTACAGTGGAGCTGTAATTGCCAGTATAGTCTCAGAATGAAATAATGGCTGTGTTTTTATAACTTTACAGTGTAGAAATGGCAGTCGTGTAATAGTAAGGCTTTTAATACTAGTAGAAAATTGGATAACTTGTTTTCTTAATGAGGAAGAGAAATTGTTTGAAGTGCATTTTAAAAAAGGACCCTATATAAATCAACAGTTTTAAATTTTCAAATAAAAGAAATATGCAAGGAAGCATTCATCTTTTGTCTTTTGTTTCTTTTCATCGCACTAAATCCATTTTGCTTTCTACCCAGAAAAAGCACCGAAAGACCCGAGGGCTTTTAACGTACCGATATGCAGTGTGTCCCGTGTGTAAATTTTTCATGTTACTATTTCATGTCTCCGTCTCAACACCTCTATATTCTTTTATCGGAGGGGCAGGTGGGAGCTGGATTACCTGAAGCAAAACCGTAGCTTTTTTGGCCCGAGATACGAGAAAATCTCTCGACATGGTGCAGGTGCAAATGCTGAAAAAAAGGCTATTTATTTTTATTTTATTTATTATTATTTTTTCAAGCAGTGAAGGTTTAGGTGGAATGTGACTGGAAAGGGGAGGATAAGGGGATTTCATAGACAGCTAAGTTAGTTTGTTTATCGCAGCAATGAGTGGCGCTTGTGGCAACACGCAAACAGATGTACCCAGTGGTAGAGCCTGTGATTCACCCACACAAAGTCAGATGCACAGATAAAACATTTAATGGCTGAGCCGTGTGTGTGTTCATCACGGTCTCTGTGATAAATGTAACTTTCCTCCCATGTTTCCAGAAAGAGGCCCTTAAAAGGGATCTTAACAGGAAGCGGGGCACTTCAGAGATTTCTCAGGCAACTACAGCGTGGTGAATAATTCAGAGCAAACTTACATGTAGCCATATCTGCAGAGGCATGCAAGAGTGTGTGTTTATATTCAGGGTTGCTCTGATATATCTTTGTTTGATTTATGGTGTGTTTGTTTTTGTTTTTGTTTTTAAATTTGATTTCTGGTAACTTGATGGATTTTCTTTTACAACACAATATGAACTATGCATTGGCAGTGGATGCATATATACAGGGCATTACATGGCTACCCTTTTTAAGACTGCCACAATGATAAGTATAGTATTATAGAAACCTAGTACTTCAGTCATACAAAAATGTATTCACATGCAGTCTGCTTTTTGAAAATCAGCTGCTTGTGATTTTAAAAATTCTTCTCTTCTCTCTTTTAGCCTGTCTGTCAGGCTTTTTCAAGCCAACTCAAGGAGATGAGCCCTGTATGCAGTGTCCCATCAACAGCCGTACCACCAGTGAAGGTGCTATTAACTGCGTTTGCCGAAATGGATACTATCGCACCGACTCAGATCCTCTCCAGATGCCTTGCACAAGTATGTATGGTACTGAAGCTGTGATATATGAACTTGCCAATTACTTGCACATAATACACAGACATGAATGGAAAACGTTTTGGCGTCAGATATGAGCTTTCTGACACACACATGTCACAAGCACAAGCAGAAGCGCTCCGGGATCAAAGGACAGTGGTAGTCTGTGTAACTCCAAACAGAAACCCTGTCAGAGCTGTCCCTCACACGAAAGGGATGCTGACATGCTCATAGTGTGGCTGTCCACAGATCTGACCCAGCACACAAGCTTCAGCTGCCCCTCCTCAACATCACACAGTCCGTACTCCAAACCAGACCAGAGGTTACTGGGACAGGGCGCATAGCTATGTGAGGGGGCAGACTTGGAGAATGAGCTGAGGCGAGACCCTCTCTTGTCATGCCAATGAAGCTGTTTGAATTTGAATTTGAGACTGACATAGAGGTTGGACGAGAGAGACGGGCCGAGGATAGACCTAAGCAAAAGTGAGCAAGGGAGGGGTAAAGTGCGAGGGAAAGACATGCAGAAAGACACGAAGGAGGAATTTGAGGGAGAATGGGTGCGTGTATTTGAAAAAGACGGAATTACTGCATAGAGCACAGCCTAACTGAAACAAAATGGGAGAAAGTGGGATAAAAAAGCCTCTATCAATGCTTCGATAGTATTTTTTTTCCTCACACTCCCCCTCTGTCTATTGAAACAGAGAGAGGAGGGAAAAGATTTGATGGTCTCCAACAAAGGAGATTTGCATAAGCCTGGCTCTGGGAGTTGAGCAGCTGTTGTGAATGAGAAAGCAACAGCGTCACGTCACCCGTATTAAGAGCAGCAGGGCCCGGCCTGATTAAAGCAAGGGAATGGGCCCATCAGAGCGGCCCGCCAGCTAATGGGGCGGATATTAGTCCTCCTCCCCAGGAAGGAGATGCCAAGGAGGAGTTATGTTTCTATGTATAAGAGACACCAAGAAGGGCACTCCAGTGGGCTTTCTTCCAGAGCCAGAGATCTGTTAATTGCTGCCAATTAAAACGAGGTTAAATAAGAAATGATCGATTCAGATTTTAGGATGTTGTGGGCGGAGTGGAATTGTTTATCTCATTAGTCCTGGAGGATACGTCTACCATAATTAGGTGCACATGTCTGTAAAAGCTAAACAGTTCTCATTGTTTGTTTGTTTGGCCTGTCACTCAACATGTAGCACCATGTGGAAAGTTTCCACTCTATAATGCCTAGCTGCTAAGAATGTCTCAATAGGAGAAACAGTAGGTTTCTCTCCGCTGCAGTAACTCTATACGATGCTCCATGAGAAAATTGTCAAGAATAGATGTTAAGAAAACACTTGCTGGAGTGGACACCAGCATTGAAAATGAGAAAGTGTAAATGGGCATCCCGAGGGAAGAGGCGCTGCCAGCTTGGAATGCAGTCAGCACGGACCTCAAAATGACTGTACAGTATCTTTGCGGGCTTTTTCTCTGCTCCTGTTTAAATAGGGTTGGTAATTTTGCCCTCCACACCATCAAGGACACAATACAACTTCCATCCCAAAATTACACCAATTCTATATAGAACTAAAAATGTCTTTAAAGGTTTGGCTTGAATAACATAATGAATAAAAACACATTTCATCGTCTTTCTTTCCCTTTTTTTTGTCCATGATCCTCATACATCACTGGTCCACCTAGAAGCAATTTTCATTTAATGGCAAACGCTGCAACATTTGTGTATATATTGCAATGCTATTGCAAATCTCTATAGAATTTTTTAATCACTGATTATTAGATATTAAAAAGTGACAATGCACAATACAAGTATTGTGCTAGGTACAGCTGAAAGCTGATTTCCATGTGTATTCCTTGGGTGGGCTCTTTTGGGAAGCCACCACTGATGTTGCATTAGTAAAAAAAAAAAGAAAGGAAAAAAAAGTCTTATCCGAAAAATGGAAAAATACAAAACAAAAGAACGAGAATCGAGAAGATGATGTGCCAATGCTACAATTAAGCTGTGTTTAAGATTAGGAAAATCCTTCTGGAAAAGTGATGATTTATATTAGAAATAAGTACGCAATGAGTTTATGTTTGGAAAACATTTGTTTTACATTTAAATTACTGCTTTGTTTGGTTCAGGGGGGCTTCTTATTATAATTTCAATAACAAACTTCATGAAACAGGACCAACTCTAAATGAAATGATAAAGTTAGCCTGTTAGTCGGTAAGTCTTGCCTGGCGGTAAGTCATTTTTGCATCAACTTTATAGTTATTATATTTTTACTTTGCTCCAGTTTGACCCCCCCCCCCCCCCCCCCCCCCCCCTTCCCAAAAAAAAGTAAAGGCTGTAATGTGACAAAAATTGGAGTCAAAATAGTGACTTGGATCCTCTTTACATTTTCATTTGTTTCTTGAAGTGTTCTTTCCCTTTTTATTGATTAATTTTTCTTCGCACTTTTCAGCATTTAGAATAAATGCACACATTTATGTGTTTTCCAGCTGTCCCCTCAGCGCCGCAAAATGTGATCTCCAGCGTAAATGAAACCTCTGTAATGCTGGAGTGGATGCCCCCTCGAGATTCAGGGGGCCGCGAGGATGTAGTCTTCAACATCATCTGCAAAAGCTGTGGCGGAGGCCGAGGAGGGTGCACCCGATGTGGGGACAACGTTCAGTTTTTACCCCGCCAGTTGGGCCTGACAGAAACTCGGGTCTACATTAGTGACCTGTTGGCCCACACACAGTACACGTTTGAGGTGCAGGCTGTCAACGGGGTGTCAGATCAGAGCCCCTACTCCCCTCAGTATGCCTCAGTCAACATTACCACTAACCAGGCTGGTAAGTGGACCCATCTGTCTTTTTCTGCACATTATACTCCCCATGTGGCTTCTCTTCTCTTCTCTTCTCTTCTCTTCTCTTCTCTTCTCTTCTCTTCTCTTCTCTTCTCTTCTCTTCTCTTCTCTTCTCTTCTCTTCTC